ATGAGAATCATGACAATGTTGAAGGAAGTACTGTGCTTTGTGTCCATGGCAAAAACAGACTAAAATGCTTTGTCACAGTGAGCCATAGTACATATAGCTCTTCTTATGCACATGTCTCATATGGAGGATTTAGGCACCTAAGAGAGGTGCAGCTTCCGATGCAAACAGCATTTCTCTGATATCCCATTTTGCTTTGAAACCTGGAGGAACCCAGAATCTGCTTAGCTAGGAGATAAAGTTGAAAAGTCTTCTCTTCACAAGAGTTATCTCTTTTTTTCCCCTTTGGATTTTAGACCATAGTTTTTGTGACATATTATTGTATTTGACATTTTTAGATCAGACTCTGAAAACTAGGTTTCCCCTGTTCTCACTATAGGTGACTTTTACACGTCACTCAGAGGTGGTGCTTCTGCCATGAGGCTGTGGAGACCCCAGTGCTCCTTGTTAAAGCTCAGTTTTTGTTGCAGAAAAAAGATAAAATGTTTTCATTCCAGAATAATTGATCAAGTTTTGAATAACATAAAATATTCTGGAATAAAAGTGGCATAATTTTGCAATATTATATATGCATTTGCAATTATTTTAGAATAGCTGTTGCAGAATGATATATTTCTCTAGAGATTGTCTTGTAAATTTATCTTTGTAATTTCATGCTCTGGCCTAACTCTGGTTCTGTGAAAATGAAATTTTAAAGTAACAGTAATTTTCATGTACTAACGGCATTCTTGATAAATTTTCATGAATGCTGAATTCCTACTGAATAACGGTCATCCTTAGTTTTTTCCATTTTCCATGTCAGAATTTAAAGTAGGTGTTTTTTTCTGTCTTTTTGATAAGAATAAGTCTCAACAACCACTGTTACTTATTCCTTTTTCTATAAAGGGATATCTTAATTAACATAGATTGGTATGTAAAAGAGTGTTCTGTAAATTATTAAATAAAAATGAGATGTTTGTAAAGTCACAGACAATTAATTTGATGTGAACCTAAAGTACCGCTCATTTCCTAAAGAAATTTCTGTGACAATTATGTGTCACATTTTCACTTCATATAGATTATAGTCTATATACTAGCAGATTTGCTCTTTAATTTCTTCCTTTGTTCTTGTTTATTGTGGGTATGTGAACCAATTGGTAAATAAATGTATGTGTCATAAATGTTCCTAAAAGCCTTTATCATAAAACCCTGACAACAAACAAAATCCTAATCTAACGCACTCATGACAAGCCTAAAACACCCACTTGATTAGCTGTGATAAAGAAATATAATTAACAGGTTTAATGCATGTTAATATGCAGATGATTTCTGACCTTGCTCTCTTAGTTTTTTTCTTGAAATTGTGGTAGAAATAGTATTTCATGTTCCTTAGTCATGTATTTACCACAGATTAACCAGAGGATAATTCTACACTGTAATCAAACCATACGTTGTTATTTAATTCATGTAAAGGGATTAATACTAGGCTGCATAAGATCAATTACATTTGGCAATCTTCTACCAAATTTGTAAATAAAATTTTTTAATGGGTAAAATTTCAACTGTGTTTTGCATGCGGTGGTTTTGGGAGTTTTCTTTTCTTTGAGTTTTCAGGTGTTTTTATCTCTTTTTTTATTAAAAAAAAAAAATAAAAAAAAAGAGATACCATATTTAAAGAGAATTTGAAAGCATGTTTCAGCATGGTATTTCTTTTGACTTTTTAGCATGTCACAGGACCTGTTGTAATTTAGCTGTATTTCGTCTTTAAGTTTTTGTGTTGTCATGACATATGTTGATTGGTGTGGGAGTGTGTCATCAAATAAGTGTATTTTCTTATTTGTAACCACAAAAAGAAGGGAGTTTAGCTGTATTTTAACTGGGATCTTTTGAGTCAAGTTCTGCACCTGCTGAGATGAAGCCTCATGCTTTTGCATGAGGTGTGATGACATCTTAGGATGTTTATTCATAGCATATTCTGTTATGATTCACAGACTGATTGCATAACAAAAGACCTCCAGCAGTTCTTTTAAAAAATAAGCCCATTTTATGTATTTAAAGTATTTAAATAGAACAAATGCAATTACTTTGTAAGTTAACTGCCAAATATTATTTGAACAAAGTTATTCAAAGTGTAATTGCTGAAAATGAGAAGTAGAGGAAGGGTTTAAATGCAGTTAAAATTTGTCAGTTTCTGAAGTTGTAAGTAGTTCATCTTTTTGCCTTAGAAAAATTTATCTTCGAATTTCTTATTTGCATAAAGTGTTTAAAGTGAAATCTCCCCTTGGCAATGTCAAGTGTCATATAGAGAAGTGTATAAATTAAAAAAAAAATCAAAAAAATAATGGGTGTTCAGCATCTTTAGAAAAATATTCCTTCACAGTAAGTTAATTATTATGATTTGTTTCATGATGCTGACGATTTAGTCATGTTCATTGTGTGATGAGTGAGTCTCATACTCAGTGGGTTTATGACCTTTATATTTACAGTAGGGTAACTGCACCTTTAAATATCTTAGTTGAGTTACCAGATGCTGTTTTGTGCATGTCTGAAGTGCCTGTATGTACAAGATGATTGATTATGATGGTCTACTGCTGTTACTAATTTGTTTCCCATTTCCGATTGGCTTTTACTTTTTACAGCTTTGAGCAGTAATTCAGTCCCCTACGCCTCCCTGATTGGCTCTGTGTCCTCCCTCTCTAGCCAAACTACCACTCAGTCCTTATATGATAATAACTCTCTCCCACGATTCGCTCGAAAAGGTCTAAACATCTTTGTCTCTATTATTTTCTCTGTTCAAGCACTGTTTTAGATGTACATCAGTCCACCTCCATTTCTGGATCAATCTAGAGTTCTCTTGTGCCTTTTCACCCACATATTTTCCATAGGGGTGCTTGATCTGGATCAATCCGTCTAATTATTAGATGACTGATCTCATTTTGAGAATAGCCAAGTCCTAAGTAAAATTTGTAAGAAAATGGGAGAGAAGCAGAGCTGCAGCAAATAAATTAGTACTTAGAGACTAATTTTTTAAATTGAAATTTTTAAGGAATCTCCCCACTGATCTCAATATTCTGCTTTGTTGGTTGACTGACAACTTGCTTTAATGCCTTACCATCACAGATGTGCTATGAAGATTCCCCAAAACATATATATAGGGTCAGAAGAATTAGGGCCAGTGCTGCTGGACATTATTTTGGAGTCTATTATGATGCTTGAAATGTCAAAGAATCCAAAAGAAAACAGGAATTAAAAACAAAATGAGAAGAATTAAAATAATTACAGCACATGCTATAGTGCGACTGTGTTGTAGCCACATGGTCATTTTTAATCTATGTCTAAAGGAAGTGCTAGTCAACTGTCTTAGGCATGCTCTTGAAAGTCACGGTGACAAAGCAAACTGCATTGTGCAACATGCCTTCCAGCTTGAGCCCCCTTGAGTCATCAGTGTTTTCCCTTTGTAATTTCAAGAGATCCTGGGGTTCACTAGCTTAACTTTTTCTTGCCAGCTCTGATTTCTTCCCTAAGCTATTGAAACCTCACTTTCATTTTAGGTGTGATAGTCTAAAGTATGAAGAGAAGAATGTAAGCATTTTGGAGAAAGCTCATGAAGACTGATAGCTTGAAATAAATAAATTTTGCCTGTCAAATCTTAAGCTGGCAGATTGTTCTAGTTGACCCCATATCTTTTCTTTTTTTTTGGTTTGCCTTTTTTTTTTTTTTTTTTTTTTTTTTTTTTTCTTTGCCGTTGCCCCCCCACCCTTTAGGTGTGATAGTCTAAAGTATGAAGAGAAGAATGTAAGCATTTTGGAGAAAGCTCATGAAGACTGATAGCTTGAAATAAATAAATTTTGCCTGTCAAATCTTAAGCTGGCAGATTGTTCTAGTTGACCCCATATCTTTTCTTTTTTTTTTGTTTTCCTTTTTTTTTTTTTTTTTTTTTTTTTTGCCTTGCTGTCGCTGTACCCCCTTACACACCCATCTGTACTTCCCACTTACTATCTTCATCAGTGGACAAAGATGTTTACACCTGAAGTAGATTGTAGGTACTTTTAGGGGTTGAAAAATGGGATTTCAGATTAAGCGTATTTTGAGGTACTAGTGCAGTCAGCATGTGAGTCCAGCCAAAATATGCAACCCCTGCCTCTACAATCTGCTACTAGTGAAAACATTTTTGAAGTTCTAATTGTCTTACGTCCAATGTTGTCTTCAGTGACTGTTGTCTTAAAGCAGTGATGCATGTTGTTCTAGTCATTCATAGCTGCATGTCAGTCACCTCAGAATTCTGTAAAATACTTAAGTATTTCTAATTTAGAGTACACACTCAGTCTTCTATACCTTGATGCATTATTGTTATTATTATTATTATTATTATTATTATATTATTAATCTTGAATCTTTCAATTTCATTATTCTTTATTTTTTAAGTTAGTTTTATGTTGGTTTAGGTTTCTTTTTTTTTTTTACCATTTCCTTTCCAGATTCAGGTGTCTGGTTACCTTGGTAACCTTCATTATTCAAGTTTGTTTTCTTGATTATGCATAAGTCACTTTGTTTTCTGTCAAAATACTCTTATTTCCCCTTTAGAGCTCTTTCAGTGTCTGTTTCTCAGTTCACATTTCCTCATCTAATTCAACAGAGTTTTAATTTCATGCATTGCAGTAGAAGGAGTTTGAAATGACATTAAGAGTCATTACTCAAAGCAGAGGTCAACATCAGGTCTAACTGTTTCATTTTTCCATGCCTAGCTAAACTCATTGACTCATATGACAGTAGCTCTTTCCTCTACACTAAGAATGTTAGCTTTGGGAATACGTTTGGTGACTTCTTTTAATTTGGCTTCAGAGCTCATCTATGCAGAGCATGTCCTGCTTTGAGTAACCAAACTATTTGCCTGCTTCTCTCACATATGACATCTTTACTACTTACACATTTATAGACATTCTAACTACTGCATTTTCTAAATTTTAGAGCAATGCCATCACTGTAGTTTACTTCAAATTTTGTTCTTCTTTCTTTTTCAACAGGTATGGCCAGTCATCCCCCAATACCTATCTTGGAACTTGCAGATCACATTGAAAGATTGAAAGCAAATGACAATTTGAAGTTCTCACAGGAATATGAGGTAATTTTACCCACTTCTTTACCATTCAGATTTTAAATGTCGTGCTTGCTGTTTCCCAAGACTTCTCTATGATATGGTGCCAGGTTTGTATGATATGTATGACAAAAAAAATGGTGTAAAATGACTACAATGGCGGGATGGCTCCTTTGCTCATAAAATCTTGTTCTCTTTTTATAAAGATACATATCAGGCAGATTCCATGGACACATACTTGAAGTAATGTGTGAATGATACAGTATAGACTTCTTTTAATGTACACAGACGTATATCTTTCCTGCAGTTTAAAGATCCTTAGATTATTTTAAAAAATCTCCCGTGTAATGTAATGTTGACAGGACACATACAGCACACAAAGAAGGTTCAGTCCACTGCTTTAATTTTTTTTTTACATGAGATAAAAGGGTTTGCAAGTGCTTGTTGTCTCTTCTATTGTAGTAGTTTCAGGACATTGTATTTTCCTTCTGTCAAAAATACCACTTTGATAAATTGTGAATGATGGTCTAGAAGAGCATGAAAGAACGTAACTGAAGACAGTGATCATTTACCAGCTACATTGTCAGTAACCCCTGGAGTATATAGGTATTGCTATAGTGGAGGATAACATCCTCTCAGGTCAGTAATTTGTGGCTGAAGGGACTTAGGGAGCCATCCATTAAGCGTGGTAAATTATAGCTGTTATTTAATGCCAAAATATTGTCCATGTCAAAAATACCTAGATTAAATGTACACTGAACCATCAGTAAAGAAGTGCTTCCATAGATCAGCTATAGGTGACCATGTCAGTGATACAAGGTTTAACAGCCCCCAGAGGGATCACCAACACAGTATTTTCTTTGTGGTCTGTTGTGTCACTAATCCTTGCTTAAAATCCTCCAACACTTTCTCAGCATGGTGGAGTGAAAACCTGAGTTGCTCTTATTTTTAGGGACTGCACATTAGTGGCATTTGAAGGTTTGTATGGACACTGGCAGAGCAATAAAAAACACTCAAGATTACTTTCACATTTTAGTTTCATAGTAACATGTTACTGCAGGGTATGTGGAAGTCCTATATATTTCCATTGTATTTTAAAAGTCTTGAGAGAAGATGTTAAAAATTTGTACTAAGTACTATGATAAAGAACTACAATTGCTTGTGTTTTTAATTGAATGTAGGATTCAGAAAGTCCTTAAGACCGCTTTAAGAAATAATCTCATTAGAAATTAAAAAGAAAATACAGTTTCAACAATTTCTGGAAATAAATTTGTTGAAGAACAGCTGAGGATTGCTGTTTATTGTTGCTGTCATGTAAAAAATGTGGGATAATCTTCTGACTTTTCTATGTGTAAACCCTACATTCTTAAGTATGAAGACTGCAGCATATAAATAATCAGACAGGGAATTTTATGTCGCAGAATATTCACCATAATAAAAGATAACATATGGTACAAATTTTAAAACCATTTCCTGTTGTGGGCAAATCAATTGGTTTTTTCCGTGTAGAAAATCCCAAACCATTTACAAGTCATATAGTACAGTATAGTTTTATTACAAATAAACAATTCAGCTGCACTACATCTTGAAGATGGTGGGGATGTGACATGGTTTTGTTATGCTGTAATAGAAATTAAAAGTTTTGGTGTTTTGTATTATCTCTTTTACTTGAGTAATTAAAATCATCTTGAGAGTGTATTTTAATAATTTATAGCCAGTATTGAGAGATACATTAAATTCCTAATATCTTCTGACCCTGCAGAAATTTCTCTTGTCTGTGTAAACAGGACAGCTTCCACATTCTTTCCTTCATTTGTTTGGGGTTTTTCCCTCTTTTTGTTTTTTTTTTTTTAATCTTTACAAAACATACCATCTGGAGCAGAATGGTCAGACATTCAAGATTAGAATATGGGCAACTGTGTGGGTCAACATCAAGCTTCATTCATATTGCTTTGCCCAAGAAGGTTCAACATTTGTCTTTGAAATTACAGCTTTAGAGATATCACTTCATTTCCATCTAGTCCAAGATTCATCCATTTTGAAACAGAATTAGTGAAAAGCAATGCTGTTTGGTTTCATGGTCTAGGCTAGGCAGAGGACTAAAGCTGCAGCTTGATGATCATTGTAAGTCATCTCCGTGTCTTGGCTGTGCATTCCTGTTGACTCTCTTGTGCCAGTCCTGGCACTAGCAGATGTGCAGCTGTTCAAGGATTATCTCAGGAAATAGATTCAGCTGAAAACTAATTGTTTTATTTTTCTTTGCTGCTTTCAATTGGATCAGTTCCCTGAACTAGCTCACCACATGTCTGCTTAAGTGCTAGTGCCAGCAACGGGAAGTGGTGGGTATATTTGTGGTCAGCGATTGGGACCTTCTACTTCAGCAGCAGTTCTCACTAATATCCCTTAAACAATCTTTTTAAATCTGATTGCAAGGCAGAAAGAGGTACAGATGGTAACAGTTCAGTCATTATCACTTCAGATAACACTAGAGCTGGTGAGACAGAAGGAAAAAGAGATACTTCTCATATTCAAAAGTTCAAGGTGTAACATGCAGCACAAAACTACTGACCTTTATTGATACCAGCAAAATCCTCCAATTAATTGCTGTTTAGGGAAGCAAAGAGTTTTCATCAATTACCACTGCTGATTTTGTTGTGGTTTTTTTTGGTTTTTTTTTTTTGTTTTTTTTTTTTTTTTGTTTTGTTTTTTTTTTTAATATATATATAATGCCCTTTCCTCGTTGGCAGTCAATTATTTTCTTTTACTTTTTATGGAATTGTGTGAATTGCATGGGTGAAATTCTTCAAAGATGTATTGATTGTATGTATCACTTACTGTAGTAAGTGATAACTTTGTGATACCATAAAGTAAAATATATGTTGGTGGTTTTCTGATAGTCTCTTACTTCTCTTCCTTCTATCAGGAGGCTAGCTCCGTTTCAAAAGGATGTTTAAATTATTTTTTTTAGCACAACCTACTTCAGTTGCCACTTCGAAAGAAATAGTGGTTTCACCACACAAACACATCTTTTCATTTTCTAAGAAATGCCTTATTACTTGTTCCTCTTCTCAAGGGGATGGAACTTGTTCCAACTTCTCAAGGATGGAACTTGTTCCATCCTTGCTCATGTTCCATCCACTTACTTTTGATCAGAATTTCTGATCAAAAGTCAATACAAGTTTGGTTTATTCCTTTTGGAAGAATATAGCTTCTTTCCTGTTTCCACTTTCACCTTAGAAGGACAAACCTCCCTGTCTCTTCAAAACAGTGTATTCTTCAGTGTAGAACAGCTTCTAATTATATGTTTTCTAAGGCTCAGTGCCATCAACTGGACAAGTTCCTACTTCTGCAAGTTGTCAGAAACTATTCTGTAATGTCTTGTTCAGGGCATCTCCTACCCCAGCTCTTACAGCATATCTTCCATTGTACTTCTCTCACAAATTTACCTTGAATACCATCTTTTGTGGGACAAGAGGGGCCAAGCCTCAAGGGTTATTACAGTGTCAAGATTCATATAAACTTACAATTCACATGTTGCATAAAGTGGTTCTGTAGTGTTAACACAAGATAGTGCTGTGACTCCTCAAAGAGGTTAATTTCGCTTTCAAAATAAATTTTTCATAATCCTTCATTAATTTTTGTTAGCTCACAATCCCCAAGCCTAAAAAAAAAGTTGATTTACTCTGTTAATATCAAATATCATATCACTAATGTCACACAGTTATTTTCTGTTCTCTAATTTAAAGGCAGGATTGACCCCAGCTGATTATTGGGAGTCTTTTGCTGACTTTGGCAATTTCAGTGGTATTTTTATGTAATGTAAGGGTCCATATGGGCTTGACAGCTGCTAAGCAAAAATCTGTGTTTATAAGATACTGACCTTTATATTGTATCTCCTTCTTATCTGAGACTTCAGAATTTAAAAATAAAAGGTGGTCGTGGAGATAAACTGAATAAAACTAGTAATGTTCTGCCTATTCTACGATGTATTTGTAAGGTAATTTCCTCCAATAAGGCAGAACAGAAAATATAATCCTCCAAAGCAGATTCCTGAGACTTGTAATAATTTAATATTTCTTTGCTGAGGTTTAGAACATAGAACATAGTACAAACATAGTACTTTGCAATACTTAAGGCAGTGGATTACGATTCATACTATATTTGCATGAGAATCTGTCACTACAACACAAAATTTACACTATCAGACTCTGCATGATTTACTGTGAATATGTATATATGCACTGGTTAACAAATGTTACAAGAAGTTGTGTATAATTTAATGTTTTCTCTCATTAGGTTTCTTTCTGTAAATTGCAGCCAGTCTTTTGCTTTAAAATTGAGTATTGGAAAACATGAAGGTGCAATTTGACTTTTTTTTTATTGTAGCTTTTCAGAATCAGTTGATTAAATTTGTGGTGGGAACACAGTTTACTGAGTATGTTATATTTTTCTTTTTGTATCTCAAGCTGCAACAGCATAAACATTGGATGCTAAAACACAGTAAATATTGTATAGTAGAACCACATATAAAACTTATATTATCAATATAATACATTTTAGAAGTCAGGAAGAACAGATAAACCACTGAATTAATCTCTATCAAAGAAACAGCTGCACTTAACTGTTATAGCATTGTAGGTAAAAGTGACTCGTGGAAAAATCAATTATTTTCCCAGCAAAAACGTTTTTGTTCTTTTTCCTCTTTCTAATATTACAAATATTATTTATTGGGATTTTCTAACTTTACTTTCATAGGATGTGCTCCATTTATTGAGAAACAATTAGTGTAGTCAATGAATGATGAAAAGTTGTCTTATTAACAGCACATATACTTGCATTCCCCTAGGTTGTTTGGTGCTCAGTTCCATCAAGGGTAGTATCCAAGCCAGCAGTATAGTGCAGGAATTTGAAATCCTGCTAGTCAAGATTTAGAGTGGGGTATTATCTCCTTCCATTGTGCTGTGAATACGTCAATGGGATAGCAGCATTTGGTTATGCTTATATAATTCATCAAATAAAAGAAAGCT